ACAAATTCCAAGTAAAAATATAAAATCTGTGTTGTAAAAGACAGACACAAACACAGGTCATAAGTTAAAGAGGAGGGTGTCTGGTACAAAACAGGGAAAATAAATGTAACATGCCAAACTGCCCTTAGAATCCTTAAGGTATTAAACTCTTGAGCTGAGACTTCAGTTGTTTAAAAGTTGACTTATATCCTCAGAACTCACGGAATGTGTTGATAATTTTGAGTTCTCAGTGAATGGTTAAATTCCCAATTTTTCAATGAATGCTGTATTCCAAAATGATGCGAGAAATAGGTAGGGGAGACAGAGAGTTCGAATACTTGCTGTTTCAAATTCATTTTTCCTTTGCTCTCTCTGCTTTGTCATTCAAAAGCATCTGATGAAATATAGTTCAGCATACTTTCTGATGTCTAGGTCCACTGCCTTTCCAAGCTGGCTAACTGACAGATGAGCCTATCATCTCCTGATATGTAAAATTATCACACATAGAATCATAGTGTCGTGTGTGATTTAAACAGGAGATGCAAATTTCTTAATGCTGACTAAGGTGCCTGGTTTTGTTTCTTTATAAAAAATGGCAATCTCACTGCAGATGGTTCCATTTATTCCACAAGTCTCAACAACAGTATCTCACTTTGTGGTTAGGTGACCACTGCAGACATTTTATGTTCATGTTTCTTCTCTCTTAGAAAGTCTATTTTATCCCAGGAATGGTCTCAGACATAACAAGCAGATGAAAGGAGTTAAAATCCAGTTGTCCATACTTATCGTGATCATAAGAAACTCCAAGTTAGAAGCTTAGGCCATTAACTAACACTAGTAGTAATTCTTACATCTTACCAGCCTTGCAGCAGAATGTTGCAGCGAGTGACAAGTGTATTTATCTACTGGACTTGTGGAGTCCAAATTTGCCACTTGGGCCACACATAAGGTGGTAGAGCTACATGATGTCATGGGAAGACAAATACAGAAGCTTCCAACATGCTCACAAAAGGGACAAGTGAGGCCCTTCCCAAAACTGTGAATGTCACCAGAATTGGCTAGTGGTATAGTGGCTAACCGGAGGAGAGTGATCAACTTCCTTATCGTCATCCCACATGCTGCCATTGAATCACATTTGCTTGGCTGACCAGCCTTTCTATGTACTTGTGCTCAGGTTATCTGATTACAGCAGCTGGAATACCTTGTCTTTATAAAACAAAAACTTGCAACGACTTAATTTATTTTCATGCATGGTAGTTATCTTGGTTTTTCTGTCAATACCAGAATGACGCAACATCATCGATGACCATAGTAAAGCTTTAAATTAGCCATTTTAGTTCCCGGGAGAATTTTTAATTAAAAGATAGAATAACTTCTTTCTTTGGTGTGTACCCAAATCCTATGGCTGTCTGCATAACTCAGATTCAGCTAGCTGATTTGATGATTTCTTAAATAAACATGAAACATGCACAAATCTATAATTCCTCCACTTGCAATGACAAGTTTCAAACAGAGTTATGATATCACACATACCAGAAACCAATGGCTATCCTATACAATGTAAGAAAGTGTTGAATGAGGCTGTTTGGTTCCCTGGGCTTCTAGTTTCCTCTCTCTGTTCAAGGACACTAACATATCGCAGTTTAGAATTCTTTAAATGCTGAACTTGCAGCTTTTAACAAGATACTACCTTATTCCAAAACCAAGTCAACCTTCTCCACATTTGCAATATGACGGCCTAAAAACCAGTTGTACCTGATAATGTGAGAGCAGGACATGTCTTGTACACAACTGTTCTGCTGGTCTCACGAACCATGTTAAGTTGGTATTTGAAAGTCATTATCACAAGTCAGATGAGAAGGCTGCATTATTTATTAGCCTAATGCTTCATTGCTATCACTTAAAGGCAAGCAGACCCTCTTAACATGAAGTATACCTAGACTTTAGACTGCAGGGAATCTTAGTGATAGGCAGGTGGGAGGCAGAATGTCTTCCAAGTGGCTATTCTGGCACCAGTGGGCAGTAGTTACAAAGGATGTCAACGCTAGACTTTACCTAACAGGTCAATGCAATGTTGAATGAAGAATAATCACCTACTTTGCCAAAGTCATCTGTTCCGATATCTCATGTGGTTCAGTGGCAAATTTTATTTGATAATGCTGTTATGAATCACTTTAAGTAGATAAAAGCACGTTATTGTCAGTATTGGTATTTTCTCAAAGGTCATGGCTGTAATGCGAAAAGAAATTCAGTACTTTCATTAGAGATACCAAAGTGTACTCTTACTCAGTTTTGTTTACATCACATAACCAGACTACCCCAGGCCCTGCAAATTATATCATTCTGGTGGAGTTCTGTCTCTTTGCAATCCCAAGTAACTAACAATATGTTTTGACTATTAATAAGCTTATGCACTTTCTAAACATAATCATGCCTACTTTTAACCAATACAAAGAACAACTTACCTCCTCTAAAGGGCACTTACCTCCCTTAAAAGGCACCTGGGACTTTTCATCATTCCGGAAATCTAGGCTCAATTTATTGTTTGACATGGAACAAATGAAAGGCGATTGGTGGATGGGGTTTGGTGTACAGTAAGGTACAGGGATCAGAATTGTGAATGTCTTTAGAAGGGACATTGTTTGTCATGAAGTGACCAGTTTATAATCTGATAGCCCGGTCAGAATGGAGGTGACACAGTGAATTGGTACAACAGGAAAAAAATACTACTGCAGCCTGTAAGCTGTGCACAGACCTTCATAACATGCTGCCTGTAGCCACTTACAAACACTGACGGAGGAGAATTCCTTTCTAATCAGAAACATGCCAGACTGCTGATGGGGATTATGCAAGACAATATGGGTGCAGTCTACATAAACTGTACCTAAAGAAACCTGTGGTGAGGTGAAGCTTGAGTTCCCCCTTATCACAGTTTCTCTCCCCATTAGGAAAGAGATGCAGATGTTCCCTTGATGTAAACAATCTTGATGGCCTCACCGATACAGCACTGAGATTTGACTTGCCGCAGTCTAGGCAGGGCCTGATGCAGTAATTTTAAAGGATACAGTGACCCATAAGCGACGTTACCCATGCCATAGATTTTGATTTTCACACATACACTGATCACAACTAGCTCTCTATCACAACTACCTCTCTTCACTGCTGCAATATTGTTAAATTATTACAGTGCATGTCCAACATCCCATGGTAGATGAGCAGAAATTTATCTTAATGAAATGTTGAGAGACTGAAGCCATTGTTTTGGTCATCACTCTGAATTCTGTTCCCTCAACACTGACTCCATTCCTCTCTTAGGGGGACAGCAATCTAAGACTAAATAAGTCTATCACAAACTTGCTGTCACATCTGATCCCAAGAAAAACTTCTGACCCCTGTATGCATCAACTGTAAACCGCCTATATCCACTTTGCTCTAGTCTCTGCTCATCGGCTACTGAAAACCTCCATTCATGCCTCGTTACCTTTAGACTTAAATATTCTAACAGAACAATGAATATAATTGCCATTCCCTAGTGTCGCTGGGTTAATATCATGGAACTCCCTCCCGAACAACATTGTGGCTGCATCTACACCAAATGGACTGCTATTCTTCAAGAAAGCAGCTCACCATCACCTTCTCAATGACAATTAGAAATTGGAAATAAATGCTGGCCCAGCCAGTAATGTTCACATGTCACGAATGAACAAAATATATAACTGGCTGGACTCCTAAAATGTCCCATCTAGCAACATAAAGTCATCCACAATTCTGCTCCCTGTACCTTACTGTACCACAAACCCCGTTCATCAATCACATTTCATTTGTTCCACGTCAAACAATAAATTGACCCTGGATTTCCTGAATGATGAAAAGTCCCAGGTGCCTTTTAAGGGAGTTAAGTGCCCTGTGCAGGTGGTAAGTTGTTCTTCGTATTGGTTAAAAGTAGGCATGATTATGTTTAGAAAGTTCTGGAATTCCCTCTCGATTCCACCTTGCTATGCTTCTATAAAACATGCCGTAAAGCCTGCTTTTTTGATCAGTCAATTGGTCGCCTGAGCAAATATCTCATTATGTTGCTCCATGTCACATTTTGTTTTATAATGCTCCTGTTTCGTTTCATAATGTTCCACCTAAGCCCCATGCCAAAGCCACAATCTAAATATAAGTTTTGTTTGAAGTACATCTTATTATAACATGGACCAATTTTTCAAAATCATTTTTTTGTTCAGAAAACTCTCACTCTTCATCTTAATCTTCTTTGTTTAATTAGAACGCTGAATTGCCCAATTATTATTAGACATGTAGAATGGAAATTAGCTTGCGATAAAGTAATGTTTATGGATAATAAGGATATTTATGTAGAATCTAAACACTGGTATGGACATGTCAGGCCCAATGGTCTGTGGCTGTGTTGTAAATTCTGTGCAATTTTCTTGTTTGGTGACATACCACCTTTGTGGCTCACAAGGCATCGTGTTTGGGACAGGAAACTTAACTCATCAGCAATTGTCAGGGCAGAATTAATTCAGCAGGGATTCAGTTCAACTCCTGAGCGACCTGAGAGTTCTGAAGCCAGGTGCAGTAAAGTATCACAAGATATTAACTCAGGTAAATTCTTTCGAGACTCCCGAGAAATGCTGGCTTTGATAATTTAGTTCAGAAACATCTGCTTATGGTCATCCCACTCGCTCAAAAGCATTTTGATGTATAATAACCAAACACAACATTGAGTCTCTTGCTGAAACTGTTCCACTTAGGCACAGCAAACTATGCATGACCACTTAAACCCCAATAACAAAGCAAATTCACTTGAATGATGAAAGAAAATGGTCACTAAATTCAACAACGCAGAGAGCTAGTCCTTGAAGCAAATAAAGTACTGACCCTTTGAAGAGAGATGTCAAGACAATTTCTGCCAATCATAGCTATTAATATATGTACAACGTTAAATATACTGTTTGTCATGACAACCTTCCATTACACACTCACGTTAATCTATATAAGATACAAGTGACACTGACCTCCAAAGTAAGAACCATCTGATAGCTTCATTTCTTTGCTGGATTTGGTGATAACAGTAGCCACCCCATGCTGAATGAAATACATCTTCTTCCCAATTGACCCTTCTCGAACAATGTAATTTCCAGGCTGAAACACCTCGAATCGTAGTTTGCTCAGCATGCTAGTCACAAAACTTGGGTCAGCATTTGCAAACAGGGGCATTGTTGCAACCAGCTTCCGACAATTGAAGTTGACAATCTCCTGAAACAGAAGAAAGTGGCCAGGCTTTAAGAAAATGCAACAAAGTAGTTGACTGACCATGTGAATGTTTCATTTTCTCCAGTAGGATGAGGAACATGGCAAGTACCCTGCATTCTAAGTCTATGTAAATAACAAATCAGTTAGTTACTGTCAAAGTGTTTGGGAATAACAAACTAAATAAATAGATAATTTATTTGGAAGAACATTGTTAAAATATCCTGAACAGTTAACACATGGACCTGAAAGAGTGAACTGGTTAAAATAATTTTTTTCAGATGCCGCAGAATACTCAGGCAGTTGACACATGACAGTGGGAAGAAAGAAGAACAATCTTGTTTCACAATCCTCCATGCGTTTAGAATAGGTTTGTTTATGGGGAATCAATTTAAAAACAAAAATGCAGAGAAAGCAGTGGCTCAATAAAGTAAATGAAACTGTCGTGGCTTCTGTAAGATTAATACAGCAATAACAGCACATATTTAAATCCATTTTTTCTGCTGAGTAAACCAAAGCAGTTTAGAAGATTTGGCCTGTTTTGAGAATTAAATTATATTAATTTTGATAGGAGGAAAGGCTGAGGAAGACTCCAGTTTCCTCCTAACAACCAGTCCTTTGTTTAGTTCTGGTAAATCCCAATGGAGGGCCATCACATAAGGAGATGGGCATGATCAGTGTCAGGCTTCCTGAGAATTCCTATCTTTTCCATCCAGCCTATGGCCAGCAAGAAGGGATGACTATGCAAAGTACATTTACTTGTTGTACAGAGCAGTAAGCAGAACTCAAAATATCATAAATGGACATAAATATGAATTGGGAGCAGAAGTGGGCCATTCAGCCCATTGAGCCTTCCCCTCCACTCAACATTATGGCAGATCGGTTTTTCTTTTGAATTCCATATATTCCATTTACAGTCATTAACCTCTGATTCCATTGTCTGACAGTAATCGATATATTTCCACATTAAGAATATTTGTTGACCTTGCCTCCATTGCCTTCTGAGGCACAGTCGCAAAACTGCTTCTCCTCATCTGTGTCCTAAAAGGCTAACTCCTAATTTTTATCCAGAGACTGTAATTCTGGTTTCGTTCATAAGAGGCAACATCCTTCCCTTAGAGATAATAAGAACTGCCAGTGTTGGAGTCAGAGATAACACAGTGTACCCATTTCTGAAGAAGGGTCCCGACCCGAAATGTCAGCTTTCCTGTTCCTCTGATGCTGCCTGGCCTGCTGTGTTCCTCCAGCTCCACACTGTGTTACCAACATCCTTCCCTTGTTCAGCTTCTCAGCTGGAACATATCACCCTTCCTTTTACATTCAATTTCTCTCATAATAAAGTTTAGCATCTCATTTGACTTTTTAAATACTTGCATGTATTACTAACTTTTTGTGACTCATGCACTAGAACACTACGACCCCTCTGTACCTCAGAATACTGCACCAATTCTCCATTTAAGTAATACTTTATTTTAATTCTTCATGCCAAAATGAACAGCTTTGCATATTACCACATTATGCTTCATCTGCCAGACTTTTTTGCCCACGTGCTGAAGCCACGTATATCCATCTGCAAATTTCTTACATTCTCTTCATAACATACTTTCCCACCTATCTTTGTATCATCTGCAGATTTCACTAACCTGCCTTCACTCCCCTTATTTAAGTCATTGATAAAATGGCAAAAAGTTGAGACCCCAGCACAGACCCCTGTGGGACACCATTCAATACATACTACAATCAGAAAAAGACTCATTTATGCTGATGCTGTTTCTGTCAGCTAGCCAGTCTTCTTCCCATAATGTTATTTTGCCCCATGCTGCGAGATCCTACTTTGTGCAAAGACCTTTGATGTGACACTTTTTCAAATGCTTTCCAGGGGCCCAAGATGCATCCACAAGTTCCTGTTCATTCACAGTGCTTGTCATTCTTTCAAAGAACGCTGATAAATTTGTTAAATATGATTTTCCTTTTACAAAACCATACTGGCTCTTACCAACAACCTTGAGATTTCTAAGTGCCCAGCTTTAACGTCCTAATGATAACGTTCTTTGTGACAAACATCAAGCTAACTTGCTTATAGCTTCCAGTCTTCTGCCTCTCTCCTGTCTCAAAAACAGGAGTTATTTTACTACTTTTCAATCTAACCTGTCAAGAATTCAGCAAATCTTAGAAAATTAAAATTAATGCATCCAATACTTCATTAGCCACATCTTCCAAGTCCATCTGGACCCAGGGGACTTGTCAGCCCTCAGCTCCATCCAGTACTATGTTTAGTACTGCTTACCCAGTGATATATTTTCATCAAGTTCCTCTGTCCCTTTCACACCTTGATTTATACCTATTACTGGAATGTTGTTCATGTGCTCTATAATAAAGACAGATGTGAAATATTTGTTTGTTTAATCGGCTGTTTCCTTATTATCTATGATTGAGTCACCATTCTAATCTCTAGTGGACTACCATCACTTTGCTTATTATATTTCTTTTTAAATATCTGTTGAAACTCTTGCTATCCATTATTACATTCTGAGCTAGCTTCTTCTCATACCGTAATTTCTTTCTCCTGATTAATTATTTAGTCATTTTCTACAACTTTTCATATTCTGTCCAATCATCTGACCTGCCAGTTACCTTTACACAATTATATGTTTTTTCCTTAACTACTTAAGTCAACCACAATTGGTGAGTCCACCCCTTACACTTTTTTATATAAGAAATACACTTATTCTTATTATTCTGAAATATACCCTTCAATATCTGCCACTACTTCCATAGTTTAGTAAGCCATCTCACTTCAATTAGCTCAACTTTCATGACTACATAGAGACCATTACCTAAGTTTGATATAATAGTCACAGGCCCGCTCTTCTCCCCTTCAAACTGAATGTAAAACTCAATCGTGTCATGTTTGCTGCTGACAAAGGGTGTTTTTGATCTGACATCATTAATTCATCCTGCCACATTTTCTAATGCTCAATCTAGCATCATGTGCTCATTGGCTGGGTTTCAGAACAAGCTGATTTAAGAAACTATCTTGAAAGTCATGTTTCTGTTACGGCTATCAGGTCATACTTATTTACATCAATGGGCATAACAAGTTTTGTTACTTTGTTATGAATGTTATGCACATTCAGGGCAGAATCTTGCAGGAATCTGATGATAGGGATTATAGCGAGATTTGAGGTAGAATTGGACAAGAAATTCAGTAAGTGCAGTGAATCCTATCCTAACATTGGGAACATCTCACTTCATCATTTATGTTTTTGCTAAATGGCAAGGTCAGTTTCTCAATAGGGAGCAGTGAGTTGCCAATTAAGGAGGATTATAGCTTGTTAACTGCATTAATAACACAATAACTCACTTCATTAATATTCAACTTCCTATCTTTGCAAACATTCCAAACAAGCTGGGCATTGAGAAATCTTAACACGGATCTCCATGCTGGATGCTAGACACCAACAACTCAGATACGGTGCATGGGCACTGGCCAAATGTACGTCCCATCTATGGACATTGGCACCCAACAAGGTCCAGCCTTTAAGAACCCACATGCCACATCTCTAGTGCACTTACAGGATGCTTCTGCACTTCAATACTGCACCTCAGGCTGTATAGGCAACTATCACTGTAATGCTGCAGCATGGACACTTGGCTCTCAGGGTGGTAGACCCCGCTCGTGGACTGGACCACGCTGCGCCTCGGGCTCTTGGCTCGCTGTCATAGTGCCGACTCACGCTGAGCCCAATTGGATGCTTACAACATCCCTGCCTTGCCTTGCCTTTTTTGCGCTTCGCCTCCTCAGCCAGTGATATGAGACTCACATTGCTTCTATCTTGCTTTGCTGTTTAGAGCAGATGCAAAGTCAGGAAGCTTGTCATGGTTGACAACAGTGCTCAGTCAAATTAAGGGAGATAGCCTTTGCATAGGGAGTCCTGGCACAGTAAGTCAAGGACAGCCTTTGATTCCAGGCCAGGGGCTTGGACATGGCCAGTCAGCAGCTTGGAGAATTCAATCTCAGGACGGATTCTATATAATGTGTGAGGAGCTGAATGCTGGGCCACCTATATTAAGTCTTTCTGTGGACTGTTTTCCTCCTGGAATAAGAGTTAGGCAGGATATTGCGGGAGATGAAAGTTGGTGGCACATGTGCTACTTTTGGTGCAGGTGGGGAGGTGTTCCCAAACAAGGCAGTAGGCAGCACATAGGACATTCAGGTATAGTGCCATTGGGTAATTGGGGGGGTGGGGGGGCGGAGCTGTGGTGGTGGTGGGGGTTAGTGACAGTGAGTGAGAAAGAATGTTCCAGGCAATTGTGAGAGTGGTTGAGCACTAGCCTTGGTGGGAAGTGGGGACAGTAGCTACCAATCTCCAACAACAGCAGAGATAGAATGAATATGATGTATTGGAGACAAAATCGTAACATTTGGTGGAGTGAAAAGTCAATTGGCTTCTTCCTACATTGCTGGGCATTCCTCCAGAAGGCTGAGACTATACTAACCCAAGTGACAACCTTGGACAGGCTAGCACAGACTGGTGTCCTAGCCTCTACTGCTAGTCCTGAGGAAAGAAGACATCTTGTCTCTGCACCACACCATCTAACAGGCTTACTACATCCCTGCCACAAAGAGAGGCACCAATATCCCCCTGCCTACTATGTTTGGGGCAAATGTCAGGACCCAGGCATGGGAGCAGCTGTGGACAGACCTTGTCTGGGTGCACATTGGGTTTTGGTGCAGGCACAAGGAATGCTAGTCTTGCTGAGGATATCTAGTAAGTAGTGAGTTGTTCCAGGAGTAGTTTATATGATGTGATGGAGATACAATCAGATATGAGAGATACCATAGGGGCAGGGTAGATTGTTGATGAGGTATGTTTACTGAGACATGGCCAGAAATCTGAGATAACAAGGTGTAGAGCTGGATGAACACAGCAGGCCAAGCAGCATCATAGGAGCAGGAAAGCTGACGTTTCGGGTCGAGACCCTTCTTCAGATTTTCTTGTCTT